CTCCCATTCTCCCTCACCGTAGCCTCCCCCCCCCCCCCCCCCCATTCTACCAGCCCGTCATCCCTCCCCCTATTCACTCTCCCCCTCCCCTACAGTGGGGGAGATGGCGCGCGCGGCTGTCAGTTGGTTTCTCCGCCGCGCGTTGTGCTCGAGCCGCCCGTTAGGCGCTGGCCCGCGCCGGGGCCCGGTCAGCCCACCCTCAGCATGGGCCTACGCTGCGGTGGAGCCGGCGAGGCCGGAGCAGATGGTGTTTGTGGAATACGCAGCCGAACTCGAGCAGCAGGAGGAGGAAGAGGAGAAGGGGAAGGGGAAGGGGAACAGTGAGGCGGCCTCGAGAAAGGCCGAGGCCTCATCCGCGAGCGGGGCTCTGCGCCGCCAGCTCCAGGCCTTGGAGGCGCTGAGTCCGCCACCGGCGGCCGAGCCGCAAGTGACCGACCCGGACTTCCCGGCGCCTGAGCTGCCGTCGAGGAATAAGAGGCGGCGGCAGGAACACCGGGTGTACGGTACTGCCGACCCGTTAGAGCCGGCCAGCGGCTCGCCGTGCTCGGGCTGCGGTGCCGTGTTGCACTGCGTGGACCCGTCCCTGGCCGGTTACCTCCCGAGCGAGAAGTACAAACAGCTGCTTCAGGCCGGCACCTTGCAGCGCTCCGTGTGCCAGCGATGTTTCCTGCTGGTGCACCACCAAAAGGCGCTGGAGGTTCGGGTGCAGGAGGGAGAGTACCGGCGCCTGCTAGGCCGCATCGCGCAGGAGTCGGCCCTGGTACTCTACATGCTCGACCTGCTGGACCTGAGCGGCAGCCTCATTCCCGACCTGCGGCGGCTGGTGGGCGAGCGGAACCCCGTCCTGGTGCTGGCCAACAAGATCGACCTGATCCCCGCCGACTGCCATGACTACCTGAAGAGGCTCCGGCAACGGGTGTTACAGCACTGCGGCCTGGCCGGCATTTGTACCGACTACCGGGGTCGGGACGTAGTGCACCTGATCAGCGCCAAAACCGGCTACGGCATCGAAGGGCTGATCTCCCGGCTCCAGAGCTCCTGGCGCTACAGAGGCAACTTGTACTTGGTTGGCAACACCAACGTGGGCAAGTCTACCCTCTTCAACACCCTCCTGCAATCTGATTTCTGTAAATCAAAGGCCCCCGATGTCATCCAGAGAGCAACAGTTTCCCGCTGGCCAGGTAAATGCAGTGGGTTGTTTTAGTCTTTTCAGTTCTCCACTTTAGGACTTTGAATAGTCTAACTTCTGGAATTATTCCTTGCACACATCCTAGCCCATACATCTGTAGTCCGGAAAACGTTCGCCTCTTCTGTAAAGGATGGGATAAAAAGATACTAGGTTTATGTAGTCTGATTAGGTATAGTCAGCATGGATTAGCACGGGAACATGTGTTTTGAACTTTTCTTTTGAAGATGTTAATAACGAAGTTGATAAAGGAGATCTGACGGTGTTGGATTTTAAGGCTTTTGGCAGCTGGCTAGAAAAATTAAAGCACATGGGGTAGATAATGTGGATTGACAATTCGCTAATAAATAGGAGTAAGAATAATTCTTGCGTTGGTAGGCTATGACTTACTGAGGTACCACAAGGATCAATACCTGTGTTGTAACTATTTACAATATTTTCAGTGATTGGGATGATACAAAGCTAAGCAGGAATGTGTTGTGAGGAAGATATAAGACAGGTTCGGGAGGATTTGGACAAGCTTACTGAATGAATAAGAACATGGCAGATGGAATATAATGTGAAAAATGAGGTTGTCCACTCGGGTAGGAGAGACAGGTACAGAGTATTTCTTAAATGGAATGAGGTTTGAAAGTGTGCAAAGAAACCAAAGTCTCTGATAACTCACTGAAGGCTAATATGCAAGTGCAGCAAGCTATTAGAAAGGCTAATGGAATGTTAGTTTTTATTGCAAATGGATTTGAGTACAGGTCCCTCATGGCAGATTGGTACAAAAGGTGAAGTCACGTGGTATCAGGGTTTGCTGGCAAGATGGATACAGAACAGGGTTTAGTCAAAGGAGACAGGGAAGCAGTGGAAGGTGTTTTAGAGAATGGAGGGCTGTGACTAGTGGATCCGTGTTGGGACCTCTGCTTGTCGTGATCTGTGTAAATGATTTGGAGGAAAACGTAGCTGGTCTAATTAGTAAATTTGTGGATGATACAAACATGGGTGGAGTTGCAGATAGTGAGGAGAATTGTCAGACGATACAGCAGGATATAGATTAGTTAGAAGCATGGATAGAAAAATGGCAAATGGAGTTTAATCCAGACAAAGTGAAGTGATACGTTTTGGAAGGTTGAAATTATACAATGAATGGCTGAACCCTTAGGAGTATTGAAATGCAAAGAGATGTGGGTATGCAGGCTCACAGATCACTGAAGGTGGCACCACAGATAAATAAAGTAGTGAAAAAGGCTTATGGCATGCTTGCCTTCATTGGACAGGGCATTGAGTATAAGTTTAGACAAGTTATGCTGCAGCTTTATAGAATTTTAGTTAGACCGCAATTGGAATATTGCATACAGTTCTGGTCACCACACCAGTAGAAGGATGTGGATGCTTTGGAGAGGGCACAGTAAAGGTTTACCAGGATGTTGCCTGGTACGGGGGATTTTAGCTATGAAGAAAGGTTGGATTCACTGGGTTTATTTTTACTGGAGTGCAGGAGGTTGAGGGGCGCCCTGATAGAAGTTTATTAGGTTGTGAATGGCATGGATAGAGTGGAAAGTATGTGGATTTTTTCCAGGGTGGAGGGGTCAATTACTAGGGGACACTTGTTCAAGGTGCGGCAGGGGCAGGGGAGTTTAAAAGAGATATGCAAGGCACATTTTTCACAGTAAAGGTGGTGAGTGCCTGGAATGCACTGCCAGTGGTGGTGGTGGAAGCAGACACAATTGCAGCTTCAAAAAGCAGCTGGACAAATAGATGAATAGGAAGGGAATAGTGGGATACGGATCCTGTAAGTAAAGATAGTTTTAATATGGAACAGCAAAATGTGTTGGCGCAGGCTTGGAGGGCCAAAAGGCCTGTTCCTATGCTGTATTGTTGTTTGCTCTGATTGGTTACACTGTATCTGGAGTACTGTGTGCAGTCTTGATCTCCTTTGTCACAGGAAAAAATATTGCCATAAGTGGAGTACACCAGACTAATTCCTGGGATGGTGGGACTCTTCTAAGAAGAGATGTTGGACAACCTAGGCCTGTTTTCTTTCGAGTTTCAAAGAATAAGAAGTGATCTCATTGAAACCTACTCAAAACTTAGGGTAGATGTAGGTAAGATGTTTCCATTGATTGGGGAGTGTAGAAGCAGGGGATACATTTTAAAAATATGGGGTGATGTCACTTGAGTCATTGTTGAGAAGACAGTATGTTACCCAGAGGGCTCTGAACCATTGGAATTCTTTACCGCAAAAGGCGACAGAAGCTCAGTCTTTTGAGTATTTGAGGCAGAGATTGATAGATCTCTGATTACCGATGGTGTACAGGGTTATGGAGACGGGGTGAGTGAAAGGCATTGAAGTGCATGATAAACCATAATTGTACTGAACAACTTTTGTGTTCTTATCTTGTTATGAACACCATAATGTTGCTAGACTACTGTCTTTTTTGGTAAATTGCATTTTTGGATTGTTAATTTTTTGTTTCACAGGAACTACATTAAACCTTCTTAAGTTTCCAGTTATAAATCCCACACCGTACAGAATGTTTCGAAGGTCAGAAAGATTGAAAGTAGTTAAGTCACAAACTGAAGCTGACCTCGGTGAAGAAGAGTTGAAGCAACTTCACCGACTGAAGAAACAGGGCTATTTGATTGGTAAGGACCTTTATTATAGTGTGATAGTCACACAGCACAGAAACAAACTATCTGGTTCAAGTTGTCCATGCTGACCAAGTTTCCCAAAGTAAACCAGTCCCACTTGCCTGTGTTTGGCCCATATCCTTTCAAACCTTTCCTATTCATATACCTGTCCAAATGTCTTTTAAATGTTGTAACTGTACCTGAATCTACCTCTTCCTCTGGTTCCAATTACAAACCACCCTCTGTTTGAAAACGTTGCCCATCAGATTCCTTTTAAATCCTTCTCCCACCTTAAAAAATTCCCTCTAGTTTTGAACTCCTCCACTGTAGAAAAAAAACATTATCTATGTCCCACATGATTTTATAAACTTCTATAAAGTCACCCCTCAACCTCCTGTGCTCCAGTGAAAAAAGTCCCAGCCTTTCCCTATAATTCAAACCCTTCGTCCCAGCAACATCCTAAGAAATCTTTTCTGAACCCTCTCCAATTTAATAATATCCTTCCTATAGCAGGGCGACCAGCATTGTACACAGAACTCCAAAAGAGACTTCATCAACGACCTGTACAACCTCAACATGATGTCATAAATCCTATAGTCAGTGGTCTGAACAATGAAGTCAAGCATTCTAAATGCCTTCTTAACCACTCTGTCTACCTGTGATGCAACTTTCAAAGAACTATGTACCTGAGCCCCTAGGTCTCACTGTGACAACTCTACCCAGATCCTATGCTGGAACATTGAAAGCTGTTTCATTAGGAGTTTTATAGCTATAAACAAATTTTCCATTAAATAGTTGTGCTAACTCTCACCATCCACCATTTGAGAAGAACTTTGATTTGACCTCTAAATTGAAATCCCCCTGATATTAGTGTGTTGAATTCTGTTCAATATAGTGCCAAAAGCAAATGAGAATCTAAATAGTTTGAGAGAAGTTGGAGGAAGAAGCAAAAGCTAAAGTAGTTAATTGGTTTCATCTGATGCTTTGTTTGATTTGTACCACTTGCTTACTGATTGCATTTGGATAGTTGAGGAAATTGGGATGTTAACTGAGAGGATGCCAGTCAGAATGACTAAACTCATTATGGATATCATTATTAAGTGTGAAATGCCATCAGGACAGTGAAACTTGTATAGTTAGAAATCGCTGTTGGTTTTTGAAGAGGAATTAATTCATAGTTAAAAGTTGGAGTTCAGTTGCTCTTCGTATTGCATTTGCCCAAGTAATAAGTGACTATAACTTAAAAGTAACCTATCAATTATAAACTGATATAAAAAGTGGTTTTTATGTGATGGCTCATTTTCAAAAAATATTTTAGGCCCACCCAGCACTGCAGTTCACCTTGCACCCAAATTTTGATTTATATTCCACTGTACATAATGTATGTCAGAATCAACAAAGCTAGTTATACGTGATTAAAAATACATTTTAAATTAGGTAAGCATATTTGAGCATTACCATGCTGTAATCTAAAGGAATATTCAGGCTTCAGAAGTTTGAAGCTCCATTCATTTTTTTAAAGGAAGATTAGATTGCCATGATATAGTTTAAGTTTTAGCAGGAATCAGTCGGAGGTTACATTTTTCAATATTTGTAAACAATGATACGATTGTCTTCAGAATTTTGTGTAAAACAGAATATGCTTTTAGCTGCAAAGCCAGCAACAGTAATATTGTTGAAATGCATATATCGGCTCTTTAAATAATCTGTAGATGATGTGGTTCTGCTACTTTTGCCAGTAGATAACCCAATATTTGATTCAAAAGTTAATGAAATATAGTGGAGATTTCTGTATGATGAGTGATTAACTTGCAAACTTTTTTCAAACCAACCTTAATACTCAGCTTGAATTACTAAAGGTCAAAACAAATAACTAATATGCTTTAAATGCTAGGGAAAATGCATTTGCTGGTTAAGATTTGTTTTAAAATGCAATTCTTAGGTTGTAGGCTATGCTAACAAAGTAGCACATTTTTTTCATGCATCTTTGTCCTGAGAATGTCGTATTAACCACTTGGTGAGAGTCACAAATACGGCACACTTTGTAGGGGTTTAGAATTTCCTTTTCTGAAGGACATTAATGAAGCAATTGAGTTTCATTACAATCCTCCATCTTTCATGGTCATTTCTTGCTACCCCTGAGATTACCGGATTTATTGAATTTAGTTTTGTAGCTTTTCATGCTAAGATTTCAACTGATCATCTGGCTTGTGGGGTCTAGTGCCATTGTTACTACATAAGTATCGGCCCTGTTCCCCATGATGAGAAATGTCTAAAATTTTTATTTCAATGGGTTAACCATTTTCATCTAAATGTATTAATAGCAGTAATCTGGATGATTGTGGTGTCCTGTAGATATTGTTTTAACATAGTGTATTGTAATGTATTGGATTGTTTTACCCTCCCTTTGGGAACAGCTTTTAAGTTTCTATCCAAACTGTACATTGTTTTGATAAAGAAAGCATTTTTGGTTGTTTTAATTTTACTTGTGCTTTAAGTGGATAGTTAGTAGGACAGTGGGAGTACTGCTGTGAGCCTCAACTACATACCACTCTCTTCTGTTCATGTTAGCAGGACTAGAAAATTGTATGGAATGCAAAGAGTAAAACTTCACGAGAATGTTGAGCAAAATAGAAAAGTACTGATGGTACATTCCATCTAGAGTTCAAGTTTTCATGGCTATAAAATAATTGAGCACCAGTTCACTCATTGTTGATAGTTCCATTCCATTGAGTTCCTCACCTTAGCTAGAATTTGCTTAATTATCCAAAATTTGTCATGTACATACTGTCAAACAAACACATACAGCACTGTCTTTTAAAATAAACCTATTTGAAAATGAGTGGTATACAAAAATCAGACATTCTGTAATCTGCCCAGCATGAGTTCTAATTATTAGGTTGGTAAAATAACTTAATGGCTTGTCAAGGTCGGTGCTGCATTGCTATCATGGTGGTGTGCTGAGTAGTGCACTTTTTGTGTATCTTTCTTCTTATTTTCCAAGTCACCCTTGATCTGACTCAGAATCGCCCAAATTCCCCAATATGAAAACCAGCAAGATCAAAAATCCAATGTTGACCTGGTCCCAAGGTTGCTGTTTTTAAACATTGTATCCGTATCTCTTAAAAACAATCCTCGGCAATCTTTTTTTCAGCTATGATTTTGCAGTCTCTACCCAGAACTAAATTATCTTGACCAACCTGATTGTTGCTGAAACCTTAATGAATCATTTTTTCAGTTCTCACCATACCAAGAATCCAGCATAATTTAAAAATTGAGCTGTAGGTGTGGTGTCATGAATCTTTTGTTTATAGAATTGAACTCTGCCAGCGCGTCCAGAAGCTATTCCAGATGGCAAACCTAACTGCATGGGCATGAGGATTGCTGTTAACCTTTCTTTTCTAGCAGGTATATCCCCCACTTGGTCCTTCAGTTGTTTTCCCCTGGAAGTCACGCCTCACCAAGAGCATTGACATTGATTTGGAATCTTGATAGCACAAGTGTTACAATTGCAGTTATTTTCTCTGGGTGGCCACTCTTAAAGATTATCCAGCAGTGTTCTCTCATTCTAAGTTGCAAAATTCTTCTAACCACAAGATTGTCATCCTGCTGGGTGTGGTAAACCCAGCCTGGAGAAAATATAACAGCCTACCTTTAGGCACCCTTTCTAACACCTCTCTATATGGAATAAAGTGTATCTTGAAGGGGACGCTCAATCACTGACACTGCTGTCCGGAAACACCCCAGTCCCAACATAGACATCTCATCAGCTTTCTTCCAACTTTGAAGCCCGATAGAGGCACTGGCTTCCTTCACTTATTCTGTTGTTGACCTATTAGACTGTACTTTACCTGGCAGCCCACCCTGACCTTGCTGACACGTTTCCTTACCAGGAGCAAAAAGCTCCCAATGATATCACTTGGGTAGTCATCAGATCGCACAAGCCTTTCCACCATATCAATATGGTGATCCACTGAAAAGTCAAAACTGGTAATGGAATACTCTCTCAAATACTTTTATTCGCGCTTGGGACGTGAACATCGCCAGTGGGCCAAGGTTTATTGCCCTTGAGTAGATGGTGGTGAGCTGCATAATTGACCTGCTGCATTCAATGTGCTATGGGTAAATGCATAATACCATTAGGGAGGGAATTCCAGATTTTGACCAAGCGACAGTGAAGGAATGGTGATATATTTCCAAGTCAGAATGGTGAGTGGTTTGGAAAGGAACATGCAAGATGGTAGTGTTCCCATATATCTGTCCTTGTCTTCTATATGGAAGTGATCATAGGTTTGAAAGGTGCTGTTGAAGGATCTTTGAATTTCTGCAGTCCATCTTGTAGGTAGCAGCAGCGCTGCATAGTGAGTGTTGGTAATGAAGTGACTGAATGTTTGTGCACGTGCTGATGAAGTAGATTGCTTTGTCCTAGATGGTGTTGAGCTTCTTGAGAGTTACTGCAGTGTTCTCGCCCTTAATGTGTTCTTGTAGCCACTATGTTTATAATTCAGCTTCTAGTCTCTTACTGAAGGTGGAATAGCAATTTATTGTCGTGTATTTTTACAAAAAAATGAAAAGTTCTGTAAATCGTCATACCACAAAAGCTAAATTATTGACAGTCATAAATAAGAAGGAAAAAGAAAGTTAAAAGTTCATCATCATTCAATTAATGGCTCCTGGGTTTGGGATACACTGGAAAACCTGTCTGAGACCGCCCTTCCATGCCAAGATGAGACCTCCACACTGGAGCTAGACCACTACATTGGGCCTTTGGAAGTCCTGGAAACCACCTCTGAAACAAGGACACGAGCTCCATGCCAAGATGAGACTTCTGTGCTAGGGCTAGACTTTCAGGCCAGGCTGTTGGAATACCCAGAAGCCACTGATGAAGGCCTCCACAACAGGATGGGACCAACACACCAGGACAAGAACGCCCCTCCAGGCCGAGACTGCTGCTCCTGAATGAGACCGCCACACTGGGAGATAGCTCTGCCAGGCGCAAAGCTCATACCACCATTCCAGGCCATTGAAAACCACCTGTCACTGGGCTTAGGCTGGGAGAAGATGACTTCTGTCAAAGTCGGTAAAAGAAGATAAGGTACCATAATAAATAGAAATGTTTTGTTTTGAAAAAAAATAGAAAAACAAATGTAAAGCAGACAGAGCAGAAAAGCTCTGGCTTCCTGGCTGAGCAGCCCATGGAAGATGGTCAGCTGGCATTTGTGTGGTGCTGATGTTACTTCTGACTTTTCATTCCAAGCCTGGATATTGTCCATGTCATGAATGGTGTCTAACAATGTACAATCATGATTATGAAATTCACCCTGTCCTGAAATATAGAGAAGTTTAAGCAAGCAGTGACTTTTTCAACGTGTGAAGAAGCAAGTAGCCCTTTAAAAGTGTCATTCTTATGGAAAATGTTCAAGCAGCAGACTTGTATTTTATAATTTTCTGTGGTTGGCTTTTTTAGTGCCATCTTTAGGAAATTGCAATCACTGATCGTACTCCAAAATAATTTGAAGAAACATTCCCTTTTAGATTAGTCAACTATACAGATAACTGGACATATTATTGTGGCTTTAAGATATCAATTCAAAAAATTCTGAACTTTAATGTTAGCGAACAGATAGAAATTACTGAAAAGCATTTCAAGTATGATGGAGGATGAAATCACTGCACAGAGGCCAGGACGCGTCACCAAGTCACCCTTCGGTAGTAGTGCACTAGTAAATATGGCCGGCCAGCCAGGTCAGAATCCGTCCTCGGCTGAGGAGATTCTGATGTCCTGGTTATATTGGTCAGCCAAGGCTTTCCTGATTTAGGCTGTTAACCGTGACCAATCAAGAAACTCATCAGCAAGGTCCACCTGGTCCTAATCACTACAGAAGATAAGCAAGAAACTGCTGCTAAGGCCACAGTTCAGTCAGCCATATTAATTGGCAGAAGAGGCTTGTCGGGCTGCATGGCCCTTAGGGCAGTGCTCCACAGCAGCCGATACTGCCTGGAACTCCATTCAGATTTCCTGTCAGGATCAGACTTAGGGTGCTAACCTTGACTTTCAGAAGCTGTGGTTGGGTTATTCAAAATCATGAGGGTTCTGAACAGAGTGGGCAAGAAGAAGCTTCTTCCTTATCAAAATATTGAGAGCAAGAGGGTCCAGATTTAAGGTTAATCAGTAAAAGGATCAAAGGTGATATGAGGAAAGACTTTTTCACACAATGCAATGCACTGTCTGAGTGGAGTGGAGACAATTGCCTTTCATAAGAGGGTTGAACAGTTAGCTGAAAAGGAGAAATTTTCAAACAAATGGGAAGAATGCAGGGGAGTTGCATTAGATGCATTGCTCATTCAAAATGCCAGTGCAGATTTGATGGACCAAGTGTCCACATTCTGAGATTGAGTATTAGTGAACCTGGCAAAACAAGGTCATATGAGGTAATTATCTTGATAATGCAAGCTCTCTAATATAATCTGAGCGTTTAGACTAATTTTAATCAGTTTTTTTGTTTTTTATTTGATTATTGGAGAAGTGTATATTTAGAACTGAATTTTACTTGCTTTGCTCAATTGTTCGAAGATTGGTCTCAGTAGTGCTATCATGCCTGTTCCTGTACTTTTTACATAAAACACACAAAGGTTCAGAAGTAAGCTATTTGGCCCTTAAGTTCATGCTTTGCCATTCAGTAAGACCATGGCTAACCTGCTTGTGTTTCAAATTCAACTTTCCCCTCTAACCCCAATGACCTTAGATTCTTGTTGGGCAAATGAGTCAATCTCCACCTTCTGAGGTAGGGAATTCTGAAGTTGCACAATCCTTGGAGAGAGAAAAAAACTCCCTTTGTTTTTGTTCTAAAAAGACAATCTCTAGTTTTAAAACTGTATTCCCTGGTTCTGAATTCTTCTGCAAGAGTCACCATCCTTTCCAGGTCTTCCTTGTCGAGACCATCCGGGATCTTGATACATGGCACTCAAATTCTCCTTCCTCTAAATTCTATTGTAAATAAGCCCAGCCTGTCTAATCGTTCCCCATAACAGAACCCGCTCATTCTAGATATCAACCTAGTGAAACACCTCTAAACCATCTCCAATGCAGTAACATCCTTTAAGAAGACCAAAGTTTGTGATATGACCTCATCAGTGCCTTTTATATAAGTGAGGTTACTTTTATATTCAGTTCCTCTCATAATAAAGGGTAGCATTCCACTAGCCACTTTAATCACTTGCTTTACCTGTCTGCCAACGTTTTGTGGCTCATGCACGAGAACACCTAGATCTCTCAGCAACTCCGATTCGGCAGTTGTTCACGGTTTAAACATTGCACTACTTTTATTCCTCCTGCCAAGGTGAACAACTTCACTTTTTTTTTTCCCGGCATTATACGCTATACGCCAGATTTCCCCTGACCTGCTTAACAAGGATGCAGACCTACGTGGAAAATTATATCATCTTCAAAACATTTTCCTAATGTTTCAGCAGAAATCAGCAATTCTAACTTCATTGCCCTGTTTTTCTGTATCCTTTTAATATTCTGTTTTGATTCCAACAAAAGTTTGCATTTTGGTTTGAGTTTTTCCTCAGACTTGATCTACAAGCTTTCAGTGCCTACCATCTTTCTTGACTTGATAGTGATTGCTTGCTTGCCTTAAATTCTTTTTCTCTATCTTCAATTTCTTTATCTCTTATGTCTGTTTGTTGGTGACTCGGAGCTCAATTATAATTTGCTTTTCTTTTAATCAGGTCACAAATTATTGTACCAATGCTTCCTTTATGCGAGAATCTTCCCAATTGTTCTAATTCTGTTAAATTTTTTTTTTAAATTTTATTTCACACTCTTATTCTGATGAAATCGGATATAATTCAGATTTACTTAACCATTGATACTGATTTGACATGTTTCTAACATTACCATTACCATTTTACTGCTTCAGTTTACTGGCACTTACTGACATTTGCTTTACTTCCTTGGTGTTTAGGTAGAGTTGGCAGAACGTTTCGTAACTCTCAAGTGGGTGGTGAGCGAAACAAAGAAATAATTGAATGGGATCCAGATGAACTGTCCCTGAGTGCAGAACCTGAAGATTGTAAGAAAGAAAATGTCTCAAATGCCCAAAAGGTGGTGGAATTCACATACAATGAACTGAAAGATGCTCGCTGGTTTTATGACACGCCTGGCATCTTAAAGCAAGACTGTGTAAGTGAAGTAGAACTCAGGACATAATGCAATGTAGATTATGAATTGAGGACTAATTTGTTAATAGTCTAGCATTTTGTATTTGTGCTCCAAAAATAAGTATAGTTAGAGTCATACAGCATGGATAAAGAGTCTTCAGTCCAAATTGTCCATGCCAACGAAGTTTCACAAATTAAACTAATCTCACTTACTTGCGTTTGGCTCATGTCCCTCTAAACCTTTCCTATTCATGTACCAACTTAAATGTTGTAACGGTACTTGAATCTACCATTTGCCGTTCATTCCACAAACTAACCACCCTCCTGTGAACAAGTTGCCTTAAGGTCCCTTTTAAATCTTTCCCCTCCCACCTTAAAAATGTGCTTCCTAGTTTTGAACTAACCCACCCTATGGAAATGACCCTTGCTGTTCACCTTATCTATGCCCCTCATATTCTTTTAAACCTCTATAAGGTCACCCCTCAATCTCCTAAACTCCAGTGGAAGAAGTCCCAGCCTATCATTGTAACTCAAACCCTTCAGTCCTGGCGACAACCTTGTGAATGTTTTCTGAACCATCTCCAATTTAATAATATATTTCCAATAGTAGTGTGACCAGAATTGTACACAATACTGAAAGAGGCCTCAGCAACAACCTATACAATCTCAACATGACATCTCAAATCCTAAACTCAATGGTTTGAGCAATGAAAGCAAGCATTCTAAATGTCGTCTTAACCACCCTTTGTACCTGTGATGCAACTTTCAGAGAAGTATGTAGCTGAACTCCTAGGTCTCTTTGTTCAATAACCTTACCCGTTAACTGTATAAGTCCTGCCCTTTGTTTTACCAAAATACAATATGGCAAATTTATCCACATTAAACTCTCTGCCACTCCTCAGCCAATTGGTCCAATTGATCAAGGTCCCTTTCTAATCTTAGATAACTTTCTTCACTGTCCACTAAACCACTAACTTTGGTGTCATCTGCAAACTTACTAACCATGCTTCCTAAATTCTCATCCAAATCATTTTCTAAAAGTGACAAACAAAAGTGGATCCAGCACCGATCCTTATGGAGCAGTGCTGGTCACAGGCCTCCAGTCCAAAAACCACCATCACCTGTCTCCTACATTCAAGCCAATTTCGTATCCAATTGGAAAGCCCTTATTGAATCCCATATGATCTAACTTTCTTAATTTGTGCGGAACTACAGTCCATGTATGTGCTAAATCATCTAGTTGCTTTAAATTCTGCATACAATATCAAAACACAAAAAGATGGGCGATAAAAGCAAAGTGATAAAGAAACACAGTAGGTCTGGCAGCATGTGTGGGGAGAGAAACAGTTGTTGATGTTTTGAGCCCAGTGTGACATCAGTATTCAACTTCAAAAAAGAGTCATATTGGACCCAAAAGATTAACCCTGTTTCTATCTCCACAGAGATAACAAGGTGTAGAGCTGGATGAACACAGGCCAAGCAGCATCAGAGGAGCAGGAAGGCTGATGTTTCGGGCCTAGACCCTTCTTCAGAAATAGGGGAGGGGAAGGGGATTCTGAGATAAAAAGGGAGAGAGGGGGAGGCGGATAGAAGACGGATAAAGGAGCAGATAGGCTCTACACATTGTTATCTCAGATTCTCCATCTGCAGTTCCTACTATCTCTATCTCCACAGATATCGTCGCATCTGCGGTATCTTGCTCTTATAAGATGAGTAATGCCTGGAGACCCTTTTTTTTTAAAAAAAACTACCAGTACAGAAAGTAACTTGTTCTGAGACCTTTTTTTAATTTGAATCACTTTGTCCTGGCATTATCTGTGCTTTCTTTGGAGATGGGCTGCCTAGTCAAGGGGAAAGGAGAGGGTGCATGTTCTTAATGTTAAGAGCTGCTCTTGGACTGATGTTAGAGATTTGAATAAGAACCTTCTCTAACCACCCTTTTGCAGAATCATTGCAGTTTAAAAGTAGCAAAGGAAGTTTGTGATATAGCTAGATGCAAGTACAAATTCATTCATCACCTTGATCCAAAGGTACCATATGAGCCGAATATAGGTGCTTTGTTGGGAAAAGCAGAGAAGAGATGTCAGCATGATGTGCCTCAAAATCAGGGCCAACAATGTTGGCTTCTGGTGCCAGAATCCAGAACAACATTGCTCCCACCAGTTGTGGATTTCTCTAATTCATAATTGTTAACAATCTGGGTTGATAATTCTTTAATATAAATGCAGCAAAAGACTCAGTAGTGTTATTGCAGAAAATGAACATGAGCTGAGCTCAGCTGAATTCTGTGCACTTTTTTTTAGTGGTACTGCAAGTGATTGTCTAGTTGTGGTGCACAGAAGGAACTCGGATAGTACTGTTTTCATAATTTCTGTTTCTGTTGCTGTGAAAACATAACTGTTATGGTTTCCATGATGTGCGTCAATAAATAGGAATTTGAAATGAGTAAAAGGGCTTGAATTTGTTGTACAAGGATTCAGGATGTCCAGAGCACTTTAATTATTCAATTATATTTGGCCAATGAACCACATTGGATCTAACTCTCTTTACCCTACACTAACACGTTGCCTTGTTCACAATGTTAAAAAAGCTGTACATGCATCTAACAGCTGAAATGTAGAAGCCTGAGAACAAAATAGGAAATTAGGGTTCATGATTATTGACAATGTTGGAGAGAGCCACTTGAGAAAATGTGTGGGAAAGGAGAGAATTGTGCATAAAGGAGGAAGCTTGTCAGTGGGTGATCATTTGTTCATGAACATTTTAATGCCCTTCATGGTTGGCTAAATGTGGTAACGATTTCTTTAAGTTAAATTGCATTAGAATGGTTAAGTAATAAAATAATTGTCACCACACCTCCATAAGCAGTCAGTAATTTATCATTTTGATAAATTTTAGCCGTAAAGTTAACAAACTGTCCAAACTTCCTCCTGTGTTCAAATCATCAGGCTCCAGTTTCAAACAAAACTGCTTATCTTTTTTATGCATGGTAACAAAAGTGCTAAAGCTGTATCTTGCTTTCTGTTTGGTAAAGGAGTAACCCAGGTCCATATTGTAACTTCCATTTTTCCATTGGTCTTGAGCATCATTTTCAGAATACACAGATGGATAATCATACCCCAAAACTTTACGATTTGACTCTACCATCCTCTACTACCAATATTATACTCCCAAAGATAATTAATTAAATATAACTCAAGTCCACATTTTTATTTTGGAGCTTCATTTCAGTTAGCCACTCTCCATGAAACACTCACCCATGACTTAGTATTTATTCAACCAATTCAAACCCAATTAACTCAATATACTATTAGGACAGCACAGTGGTTAGCACTCCTGCCTCACAGCACCAGAGAGCTAGGTTCAATTCCAATGTTGGACGAATGTACAAACTCCACACATTCTCTCCCAGTCTCCGTGGGTTTCCACCAGATGCTGCCGTTTCCTCCCACAGTCCAAAGATGTGCAAGTTAGGTAGATTGGCTACACTAAAAATTGCCCCATAGTGTCCAGGGATGTGCAGGCTAGATGGATTAGCTATGGTAAATACAGGGTTACAGGGATGAGTGAATCTGGGTGGGGTGCTCTTCACATTCCTTCAGACCACATTAGACAACACCAAAAAGATCGCCAGGTGCAATTTTTGGATTGTAACATAGCCATTCAGCTCTGACTTAGTGTTTACAGTTGTATTGCAGTTTAAATCCTTACTTTTTTAAAATAATTTGTGAAATTATTTCCTGTATGGTTCCAGGCTGGTTCCTGTAGCTTGTTGCTATCTTGCAAAACCCCATGGAAAAGTAGGTGTTTTTATTTTTCTGAAAAACTCTGGATTAAATAGTGTTCTTCCCCTCCCCGCCCACTAATTTTCAAGGACCAGAATGAGGAAAAGTTTCGGAAGCGCAGTTGCAGATAGTACATGCTCCTGCCCCTCTGTGCTAATGATAGAAGAAGTGAGGGAGTGATTGGTTAAGTTGTTGTGGGTCTCCTATCAAAATGTTCTTTTGCCGTGGATGTTGTCATTCTTCTTGTATTGTTGGAGCTTGCACTCCACTGTAAAGACCAGATCTTTTATGTTTCTTTGTTTTTGATTATGGACTGAAATGGGAAAAGAACTGGTTTCCCCTGCATCCAGTGTTTACCTTCAATCATTATGGTTAAAGTTTGGCTGGTATTAATATCACTTGCTCTTCAGAGTGCAAATCATCTCCTCTGGCTCATACATTAACAATGACCAAACTTTAATTTAATGTCCTTTGGATGTGGGAGATGCTGGAGCAGTGCAACATTGCGCTGTCAACTCTTCAATGTAGTTCTGTGATTTCATCAGATAAACCAGTTCTAGGCTGGACAGACTGAATGGTAGGTTTGTGAGAGGCAATAATAGAATTGCCCATTGGAAACTTTGCAACAGTTTTTCATAGGATGCAAACTAGTGCAAGGCAATGGAAGCACATTGTCATCCAGTGAATCCTGAATCCAATGAAATGTGTATAGAAGTAATGTCTTATAAGCATTGGGTTGGTTAGTGCAAACGTGATCAGGCAATGAGAAGGCAGTGATGACCATAGTGGGTAAGGTTCCTGAGGGGGCCTGCACTCATTGGATTTTAAAAGAATGAGAGGTGAGTTTATTGAAACATACAAGGTTCTTATGGGATTTGACAGGGGAGATTTGGAGAGGTTGTTTCCTGTTGTGGGAGAGTCTAGGGCCAGAGGGCACAGTCTCAGAATAAGGGGTCGCCATTTGAGACAAATGAGGAGGAATTCCCTCACAGCAATATTTGTATCATCTACGGGCACTGGGGAGGTGGCGGAGGACTGGAGGATGGCTAATGTTATGCTTTTATTCAGGAAAGGCTGTAAGGAGAAGCCTGGGCACTAAAGACCAGTGAATCTGACATCAGTGGCAGGTAAGTTGTTAGAGGGGAATCTGAGAGATAGGATTTACGTGCATTTGGAGAGGCATGGACTGATTAGGGATAGTCTTTGCGTGTGGGAAATCATGTCTCTCAAATTTGAGTTTTTTTGAGGATGTAACCAAAAAGATTGAGGGTAGAGTGGTAAACGTTATCTACATGGACTTTAGTAAAGCCTTTGACAAGGTTTTTCACAGCGAACTGATTAGTAAAGTTGGATCGCATGGGATTCAGGGAGAGCTTGCCAGTTGGATACAAAATAGGCTTTATGGTAGGAGAGGGTGGTGGATGGAGGAAGATTGATTTTCAGACTGGAGGACTGGGACCAGTGGTGTTCTGCAGGGATTGGTGCTTGATCCATTTTTTTGTTTGTCATTTATGTAAATGATTTGGGTGAGAATTTACGGTGCACGGTTAGTAAGTTTGTGGATGACATGAAAATTTGTCATTTAGTGGACAGTGAAGATTACAAAGGGATCTTGATCAATTGAGCAAATGGGCTGAGGAGTGGCAGATGGAGTTTAATTCAGATAAACGGGAGGTATTGCATTTGGTAAAACAAGGGCAGGATTGTACAGTTAATGATAGGGCCCGGGGTACTGCTGTAGATTGGAGAGACCTAGGGGTTCAGGTACATATCACTTTGAAAGTTGTGTCACCAGTAGACAGGATGGTTAAGGTGTTTAAAACATTTGCCTTCATTGCTAAGACCATTGAGTATAGGAGTTGGAATGTCATGTTGCGGTTGTACAGAACATTGGTTAGGACTCTTGGAGTACTGTATACAGTTCAAGCTGCCCTGCTACAGAAAGGAGAGGGTTCAGAAAAGATTTACCAGCGTGTTGCCGGGACTGGAGGGTTTAAGTTATAAGGATTAGCTGGGACTTCTTTCACGAGCATAGGAGGTTGAGGTGTGACGTTTATACAGGTTTATTAAAATCATAAGGGGCACAGATAAGGAGAATAGCAAAAGTCTTTTCCCTATAGTGGGGGTGTTCAAAACTAGGGAGGATATTTTTAAGGTGGGAGAGGAAAGATTTAAAAGGGACCTTGGGGGCAACTTTTTCATACAGGATGGTTCGTATGTGGAATAAAATGCCAAAGAAAGTGGTAGATTCAGATACAGTTACAACATTGAAAAGACATTTGGATAGGTACCATGAATGGGAATGGTTGAGAGGAATATGGGCCAAACTCCGGCAAATGGGACTTCAGTTTGGGGAAACTTGGTTCGCATGGACGAGAAGGGTCGGTTTCCATGCTGTAAGACTATATAGCTGCATCCATGTCTTCAGGACTCCCCAAAGTACTTCACAGCTAATGAGATGTCACTCAATGTGTCAGTGATTTTACAACAGCAAGGGAGATGTTGATTGAAGGATGCTTGTAGACAAGGGAACACAGCTCTTTGCTGTTCCTTGAATAGTGTTAGTGGACCTTCTACTTCCAATGGGACAGACAGATCAGAATTAATTTTAGCATCTCTTCTGAAAGGCAATTGACCTTTGTAATTGCACTTTTCCCTTAGTACTAAACTTATCTATCGATCTAGAGCATGTGCTGTCTTTGCATAAATGAAATGGTAATTCAGCCCCAAAATCCAGGTAAACGCAGGTTCGTCCTGTTAGATTGTGGTGGGCCAGAAAGTTTAGATTAGGCTGCTTTCTTTTTGGTGTATCATTCTCATTGATAAATCCTAAATTTGAATACCACCATATTTTCACGTTTATTAGATCAATCTCTAAAACGCTTTTTGTTCTGGAGTAACATTGTTTCTCATACCTTTTTATTTACAATGACTGTTAGTAAGCTATTTGAAACAACAGAAATAAGTACAGTAAACAGAGCAACTGGCTAACATCTTGCTGGTGAAATTCACAGGAAATTTTTGTCTTGAAAGTAATACTACTAGCAGTTTCCTCATGTAACTCCAATATATTTTGCAGATTTTAAATCTACTTACAGATCAAGAACTGAAGTTTGTTATGCCATCGTCAGGTATTGTTCCTCGGACATATGTGCTACGACCTGGTATGGTGTTATTTCTGGGCGCCCTAGGTCGCATCGACTTTCTGCAGGTAAGGAACTAGATGTTTCAATGGACCAATACAACTTTATATATTTACACAACACTTCTTAAAGTTGTAAAATATGCTAACAAGGTTGTCACTTGAACTTTTGCTGGTTTTAATGATGTTACAAATGAGACAAGTCAACCTGCACGAATCTGAAAGACAGAGCATGGTAGAGGCAGCCACCCTCTTATTCTTCTTGCGAAATATGGTGGGAGCTTTCGCTCAAATTGGAGACCAAGCTTGTGAGAATTTCAACAAAATTGGATGATTCCCTGAACTTTGGGAGTGGGAGAGGATCTCTATGATAGCCTGTAGAACCTGTATCTCCAAGGAATTTTCATCCTCAAAGAACACCAGACAGCTAGCAAAGTGCTCCTCATGAAAGTCATTCTGGGAATTGGAAGTGATTCACCTGGAAAATGAAAAAGACAAGCAGCAAGAAGTACATCTTTGGATATGCTCCCTTAACACTCAGTGTAAAAAATCATTTTACAAGTTAAATGTGGATTTCTTGTGTCGGTTAGAGTACAAGTTACCTGCTGAATTGGTCTTTCGTCAATGATGCTTTTAACTTGTTTGTTACAAGAAAAGTCTTGAAACATAAAGTCTTGCTGTGTGATCCTTCCAGTCAGCTATTGGAAAATTTCCATGTCTTTCTAAAAATTATTGGTCAATGTTCATAACAACACCCCATTTACTAACCCTTCTGACTTCATAAAACTGGATTTTTACTATGATTGTGATGACTCCTGAGCCGGCTTGAGCAGTAGTATGCTGCTATTATAGACACCAGGATAAGACCAGGACAGCATATACCATGTTGACCCTGCTGCCCCAGCTGGTAGTTGTCAGTTCCTGTTACAATTTTACTCTGGTCGTCTTGACTTTAGCTATGATGATCTGAAGATGTTACCAGTTGGCAATGTACGCTGAAAAATTATGCCAAGGTATTGACATTGGATGAGTTTTGGGTCACAGATATGAATGTGAAATTCTTCCCGGGCCTTTAAGTTATTCAGTAAAGACCTGAAGTTATTGTCTTGTCAATGTTTGATCGAAGACTCCATTCTTTTTGAAGTTGGTTTCTAAACATGGATCTTCTTTAAACTATTTCCTCAATGTCCTGACGTTCTTCATTTTGGAAAATGAGGGCCAAGTTGGAGAATGTGTGAAATCCCATGCTTTATGGAAGCTGGTCACTAGCATAGATTGGCGGGGGAAGAGGGAGAGTGAGTATGACAACTGATGACTGGGAACAGTCTCTCCAGGGAATATGGTCTCAGACCACCTTCTGACAGCTGGCAGAGTGCTCCTATCAATCCCCCTCTTAATGAGAATGATCAAAGAAAGAAAAGGCCTTTGGGAGGTACAAAGAACAAAGAAAATTACAGCACAGGAACAGGCCCTTCGGCCCTCCAAGCCTGCGCCGATCCAGGTCCTCTATCTAAACCTGTCACCTATTTTCCAAGGATCTGTATCCCTCTGCTCCCTGCCCATTCGTGTATCTGTCTAGATACATCTTAAATGACGCTATCGTGCCTGCCTCTACCACCTCTGCTGGCAACTCATTCCATGCACCCACCACCCGCTGCATAAAGAACTTTCCACGCATATCTCCCTTAAACTTTTCCCCTCACCTTGAAATCGTGACCCCTGGTAATTGAGTCCCCCACTCTGGAGGGGGGGACAAAGCTTCTTGCTATCCACCCTATCTATACACCTCATGATTTTGTAGACCTCAATCAGGTCCCCCCTCAACCTCCGTCTTTCTAATGTAAATAATCCTAACCTACTCAACCTCTTCATAGCTAGCACCCTCCATACCAGGCAACATCCTGGTGAACCTCCTCTGCACCCTCTCCAAAGCATCCACATCCTTTTGGTAATGTGGCGACCAAAACTGTATGCAGTATTCCAAATAATAGGTAGCCTTTTAAATAATTAAAAGTTTGGTTAATCCAAACCCACCAGTAAGTTGACTTTGGAAACTGGTGGAAGAAATCAAGGAAATAGATTGACACCAGTATACAGATCACCCCATCACTGGTGTTCTGATGAGGATACCCATCCAAATATCAACTTGTTCTCTCTGCCTATTGCTGAACCACAGGCAGAGTTATCATGAGTTCCCAACATTATCAATGAGAATGGTGCTATAGTTAAGGTCTGAACTTGGTGATGGGTGTTGAGTTCAGAGGCCTGCAAAGCATAGAGATGAGGTACTATTCCTTGAGTTCAATGGGGAAAAGTGTGGGAATGGGATGGAGAGTGAAGCAGCAAGTGACAAGAACCTCAGTCTCAAATGCAATCAGAATAGCTGTTCAGCATAGCAGTTACCTAACCGCTCATTCCTCCTTATGAGGAACACTTCACCTGATGAAAGAACAGTGCTCCAAAAGCTTGTGTTTTCAATAAACCTGTTGAACTCAGTGTCATGTGACTTCTGAATTTGTCCACCCTGGTCTAACACCAGCACCTCCGCATGATGAAACAAACATGGTGTAAACTCAACAAAATGGAAACTACAAGCAAAGTACAGTGAGTCATCAGGTTTGAAAAGAAATAACATTACATGTTATAACAAACTCTCAGGTTCTAAAAATTGATTTCAGTTTTAGTACCACCATAAACTCACGTAAAAGTTGAATTTTTGAAACCAAATTCTAGGCAAAATGTTTGGAGATCACCATTTACACAATGTTTTTGGAGAAGTTATTTTAACTGCAACAGTTACAGGGAAGGAAGTTATTCAGCTATATGGAAATACCAAGTCAGCACACTCATCGTTCATGTGCGTGGCAATGAACGTTCCTAAACTGTGGAACTTATCTTTGCTTCCAAACGCAACACCAATATTTTTCACTTTGTAAAGATTCTTTTTTTCAGTCCACAGACTTTGAGCTGGACATAGAATTCCTAGTCCATCTGGTTGCATGGCACTGTCTGAGAGATTGGTCTGCTTTTATCGCACTCATTTGGTGACCTGCAAATGTACTATTCCAAAAGCATAGTGCTCCTTCAAAAATCATAGAGCCATTAGATGTAAGCCCTTACACTTATACAACTATGTCAAACTTGTGTTTCAGCTTCAGGGAGCCTCCGTAAATTCCCATACCCTGGGACAGCTAACAGCAACATTGGCTGGGCTTGGATTTTCAGTGCTGCTTGGAGGTTGGGAAAAAGTTATACAAGTGGAGAATGTCATATAAATATTGTTTAAATGAACAATGAATTGAAATGTGAAAAATTAAGGATTTTTTGATTGAGGATTGGGGTCAGCCTTTACACTGGGTTGACCTAATTTACGAGAGCTAGTGAGTACTTTGTTGCAATAAATGTAATAAATATTTCCAGTTTTTAGTTTGGAACAGTGTTGGAAGCAATTCTTGGCAAAGGTGAGAATTGAAATGGATATTTGAGATTGCTGCTGCTCTAAACCTTTTGGCTTTAATCTTTCTAACTATAAATTGTGGTTGGTTGTTATGATGGACTACTTAAGAAATAGATTAATAGTGGAAAATAAAATAAGGATAAAACAGCTACATTTTAGCCTTTTTGAAATTTGTACTGCTTTTCATTATGTTCACCATTGTTGGCTGACAAAATTGCACAAGTGTAGTTCTTGCAACCTGAGGCTGACATGTGAAATCCAACTCCTCTTTCACCTCAAACAGTAAAGATATCTGATCAGTGTGGCTCAGTTGGACCGAAACGTCTGTTTCCGTGCTGTACAGCTCTGACTCCTATGGTCTTTTCATACATACTGCCTGATCTTGAATGTAGCCAGAATTTCTGATTTTGTATTGGATTTAAAACATCAACAGGTTTAGCATTTTAAAAAATTTTTTGTCTTTTCACTTTCATTGCAATATGCAGGGAGAAAAGTCGGCCTGGTTTTCCGTAGTTGCTTCCAACCAACTTCCAGTCCATGTTACAAGCCTCGATAAAGCAGATTCAATCTACCAGAAGCATGCTGGAAAAGCATTACTTGGGGTAGGCAATCATTATATATTGGAGTTTTAGGAAAAAGTATGCAGCTGAAATTTGAACTTTACTGTAGACCATTGTCTACCTTTTATACTTGGAGTATTTGTATGCGGTCAAAATTATTGCTCCATAATTTTCCCATTTTGATAGGGCCCTTATTTATGTTGAAGGCAAAATTAAGTCACAAAATATATAAACAAATTTTTATAAAAAAAAGTCAATATACTTTATCCTAATATTTTCCCCAGAACCATCTTCCATATTATAAATTATATGATGCATGAACTAAGTAGCAATTCAGGCAAAAGCATTTTAAAGCATGAGCTTTTCTCTCTTGTTCAAGAAGGTATGCATACTATTGGACTTTCAGTTGAGATTTTCATTATCATTCTTTCACTAGATGTGGGCGTTGTCTGCTTGGCCAGCCCTTATTGCCCAACCCCAAATTGACCTTGACCTAGCTGCTGCCTTAGACTATTGCAGTTCATATGGTTTTGAAAGAAGTCGTGTGAACCAGAATCCCGCTTCAAGATTGGAGTTTAGAAGAATTAAAGGTGGCCATAGTGAAGCATTTAAGGTACTAATAGGATGTGGTAGGGTGAATGTTGGATGAATAGTTTCTCCTGCAAGAGAAATCAATGACTGGGGCAAAGTTTAAGGAAGAAGATCTCCCTGTAAAGGAAGCATTGGCTCCAGTACAACTATAACCCTCCCTAAATTAAAAAGCAGACCAAAACTGTAGGAAGTACTCAAAGCAGTAGTTTCACTAATCCTCTATACAGTCATTAGACATTTCCCTGCTTTTATACTCTATCTTCCTTGCTATAAAACTCAATGTGCCATTTGTTTCCTAATAGATGCTGTGTACTAACAATTTTTTTGAAGCACATTTGAGGACACTGAAATCCTTTTGATTTTTCACCACTCTGTAGTCTGTCCGTTTAAGTAATATTCTGATTTTCGATTCTACTTGCCTAAGTGGATGATTTCATATTTACCCACATCATACTCCATCTGTCACGTGCCTGCTTACTCAACTTTTCTTAATCCCTTTGCAGACACTTTATAACTTCCCCGTAACATGCTTTCCTACCTAGTTTCATAGCAACAAATTTAGCTACAATATAGTCAGTCCCTTCGTTCAAGTTACTAGAACTTTCTATTTTAGTATATTTCCCCTGAGTTTATTATCTGTACAGTGAGTAACCAATACAGTGTACTTGGATAGAAGTAGATTATGTTGCTTCACATGGGAGAAGGTTATGAAGTGTCCTAGGTGCAGCCATCCTTAGTTGCTTCATCAATGACCTTCCCTCCCTCTCAAAGTTACAAGGTGGGATACAGTTGGTCCTGCTATAACACGTCTCGTGAATGCGAATTGGCTTTAACGTGATTGAAGCATTTAGACCATTATCTGTTGAACACAATTTCCTTACCTATATTGTCTATAAAGCAATTCTGGCCCCATTAGCTTAAATAGCACAGCTATAAGGTGACATCATACAAGAACTGAAGTATCACATTATATCAGAACTGACTGTATTCGTTGATTGCACAACTTTTACAACTATTCACAACACCCCAGATATTAAAGCAGTCCATATCCAAATGTAGCAAGACCTTGACAATACCCAAGTTTGGGCTGACAAACGGCGAGCACCATTAATGCAGCAATAAGTCTTAGTCATTGCCCATCTCCAACAAAAGAGAATTTGTATCTGTTGCCTCATGACATTCAATGGCATTACTATCACTGAAACCTCCACTATCAACATCCTTGGGATTACCATTAGCAAGAAACTGAACTGAACTAGCCATATAAATACTGTGGCTACAACAGCAGGTCAGAGGCTTGGAATCCTGCAGCAAGTAACTTGCCTCCTAACTCCCATCAAAGTCAGGAGTGTAATGGAATATTGACCACTGCCTGGATGAGTGCAGTTGCAGCAACATTCAAAACTTGACATCATCCAGGACGAAGCAGCCTGCTTGCTTGGCAGCACATCCCCAAACATTCACTACGTATTCATGTGTATGATTTATGTATGAGATGCATTGCAGAAATTGACTGAATCTCCTCAGATTGCATCTTCTAAATCCATGACCACTTCCCTCTCGAAGGACAAGGGCAGCAGATGCATGTGAGCACCATCACTTGTACCTCCTCAAGCTACTCACTGTCATGACTGTCACTATCAAGAGAAATTGCTGTTTCATCAGTGTAACTGGGTCAAACTCTTCAAACTTACTCTAATGGATTTGTGGGTCTACACAAATCAAATTGACTGCAGTGGTTCAAGAAGACATCTTGCCACCACCTCTCAGGAGTAAATAGTTTTGGCAATAAATTCTGGCCCAACCAATAATGCTCATCCCCTGAATGAATAAAAGAAAACACAAGAAGTAGATGTGGCAAGGAGGTGAATCTCCTGCATTCATACAGGAAGGTGTCAAGTAAGTGGAGTTGGTAGAGGGTTGTCCAAAAGTGGCTGCAGTTGAACAGTTTGTAGTGTATCCTCATTTAGGTGTTGGAAGATATAGGTGAATGTGGATACTGAAGCACTTACCATTGTGAACGAGCGTAGGATGTTGAACTCACAAGGTCAAGGAAGAAGCATGAGAAATGGTAACAGCATCCAGGGTCATGTGAACAATAGCAGAAGGGAATTGCTAGTTGAGAACAGAACATTTTTGAAGCTCTATTATACAAAATAAATTTGCCACAACAGATTCAACAGGCAGAAACTGGGAGAAGGAAAATGGATTTAGTAAAGACTTGGTTATAAGGAGGGATGGTGGTATAAGCACATCACAGGAAAATCTTTTTGCAGTATAGGATTTGTAAAGAATGGAAAGCATTCCAGTGGTACCAAACCAGCCTTCTGTTTAACTGAGCAATAAATTTGCGTGCGTCAAGGATTTTGAAGTGCTTACTGTTCTGACATGTCCTGTCCCCACTTCTACTAGGTTCCTAATGGTGGAGAGGAGAGGATGAAAGATTTCCCTCCCTTGGAATCTCAGGATATTGAGTTATTTGGAATTGGTCCTTTTGAGGCTGTAGCTGACATAAAGCTCTCTTCAGCAGGTAGCATCTTTTATTTAATCAATTTATATGTATAACACACAATCTAGAAATGGATGCACAATTAACCACATCAAATCAACATGATTTCAATATGACTGGCTTGTAAGTATATTTGTAACATTTGTATAATGTATTATGAACCCAGCTAATGTTATTCCTGGACAAATCAAATCTCAGACTGAAATCTGGCTTGATCAATCAGTTATGTTTTATTTAGTGCTATGATCTTTCATTGAAGCACAAGCACACAATGCTACAGTTTTAACAATAAAACAAGTTTATTATGCAAAAGAAAAGATAGAATAAAATAAACTAAGCGATTCACATAACATGATTCTCAAGACTGAGAAACACTAAAAGTACAATATTCCATCTACAAGTCTTTGTATTCAACCAAACACTTCTGTTCCAGAACATTCAAACTAAACTTTACACTAAAGCAACCTATTTCCTACCAGTTTTAAACTATCTCCTTTCTTCAGGAGAAACTGTTTAACACTTACAACTTTCACCAGGACCTCTGCAAACTGAAACCAAAAGGCTTCCTGAGCAATGGGCTTTTCCCCGAAGCAAGAAAAGAAATGAATTCTTGATCTTTTACTGAAAGTAAGCTAATGCTCTTCAGTGTTTATTCTGTCCTCTTGTAAAAACTCTCCCAATGCAAACAACTTGCCTTTATTGCTCCGGGAAGTTTCTCACACTGCCTTTTAAAAAGAAAATGCTCCAGAAATAATTACAAGTTAATCATTAAACTATCATAAAACAGACTAAACCGACATGTCACTACTTCAAATTCTAGTATAAATGGTACTAAAATGTGGATAAGTCACATATCTTGCATTATACTGTGTACAGTGTGGCTGTAGCAGAAAGGGGGAAAAAGAAATACCATTAGCCAGGTGAAAATCTGCCATTTCTTTATTCATGACTCATTGACACTATATCTGTACAACTAATATAAAGTAAATCCGTAAATCCATAAATCCACTGTAAACAACTACTAGTTTTCATGTAAAACCAGTCACTGATTTTCCCCCTAAACAAATAAAAAATTCCTGATCTTTTAACTCCAGCTAATATTCTTCAAGATAACAAGGTGTAGAGCTGGATGAACACAGCAGGCCAAGCAGCATCAGAGGAGCAGGAAGGCTGACGTTTC